GACCCATTCCTCCTTTGTTTGCTTTCTAAAACAGGCAGACTTCCCAGGGATAACTGGCCAAGATATAACAAGCTATAACATGTCTAGGCATGGACCCTCACATCAAGGTTGGACTAGGCAGTTTAGTAAGAAAAGGGTTCCAAGAGCAGGCAAACATTATGACCTACTTTTAGTTAATTCTTGGGCATGATATAAGTGTGGGTCCAAGTTCATTTTTGTGCATACATATAATGAGTTCTCTAATGCTATTCTACATTATTACTGAGAGTAGGTTAATACTTCACTCAATGAGGATATTATGAATAATGTTGACACTGGTAAGACACTGTCTTTCCAAAGAATGTACTGATTTGTAGCATTTGTCAGTTTCTCCAAACACATTCAGTTACAAACTACTGCTGAAAGCCAAATCATTGAGGTGGAAAAACTCACATCATTGGTTTTGAACTCTTTCATTCTAGCTCTAGCAGAATACTGAATCTGTAGATGGAAGCCTTTTTCCTGCTTGGACCTGCAGCCATTTAATCCCAAATAAACACACAGAGGCTTGTGTTAATTATAAACTGCTTGGCTGATGGCTCAGTTATCTTATTGGCTAGCTCTCTCTTAATTATTATCCCATTTCTATTCATCTGTGTATCTCCACATGGTCTTGGCCTACTGGAAAATGCCCAGTGTCCTATCTTCCCAGTAGCTACATGGTGTCTCTCCCTCCACTCACTCTGTGTTCTCCTCTCAGCCTTCTCCTAGTCTGGTAGCTCTGCCTGTACTTTCTGTCTGGCTATATTCTTCCTTCTCCATTGGCCAAGACAGCTTTATTCACCAACCAATAAGAAAAACATATTCACAGTATTCAGAAAGACATCCGCCATTACAATCTGTTTAGTTAACCTACTTAGGGCTGTCCCCCTTTTTACTCTAATGGAACAGAACATGCACAGAAAAAAGAATCAGTCTATCTACACCTGTTACAAATAAAGGTGGAGTTCTTGGGGGTTTCTAGATCTCCCTAACTATTTAAATAGCTGTGGCTTCTTCAGCTTTTCTGTGGGTATGTTATTTTCATCTATCACATTTACTTTCAGGACAACTCTCAGCTTTGTTTTCTTATAGAGATAAGAATATTTAATAAAGGAGGACCCTAAGAGGGATGGATGTATCACCCTGGGAAGGGGAAATAGAAGCGATATCCTGGGTAAACTGGGAGCAGGGGCAGTAGAGGGGAGGGGATGGGACATGAGAACATGAGGAATGGGGATGGTCAAGTTGGGAGAGGGACAGAGTGGGAGAACAATGAAAGAGATATCTTGATAGAGGGAGCCATTATGGGGTTAGGGAGCAATTTGGTACTAGGGAAATTCCCAGGAATCCACAAGGATGACCCTCGTTAAGACTCCTAGCAATAGAGGAGGGGTGCCTGAACTGGGCTTCCCCTATAATCAGATTGGTGAATACTCTGTCACCAGAGAGCTTTTATCCAGTAACTGATGGAAGCAGATACAGAGATCCACAACTAAGCATCTGGCCAAGTTCTGGGAGTCCAGTCAATGATGGAGGGGGTCAGGACAATGATGGGGAAATCCACAGAGACAGCTGAACCAAGCTGCTGGGGACTCGTGAACACTAGACCGACAGTTGGGGAGCCTTCATGGGACTAAGCTAGGCCATCTACATGTAGGTGACAGTTGTGTAGCTTAGTTTGTTTGAGGGGCCCCTGACAGTGAGACTGGGATCTGTCCTTGGTGCATGAGCTCAGCTTTTGGAGCCCATTCCCTGTGGTAGGATGTCTTACTCAACCTTGATGCAGGGGAGAGAGGCTTGGTTCTGCCTCAACTTAAAGTGCCAGGCTTTGTTGACTCCCCATGGGAGGTCTTACCATTTTCTGAGGAGTGGATGAGGGGTGGGTTGGGAAAGAGGCAGGGGAGGAGTGGGGAAGGGAGTGGGAGGGGGAACTGAGGTTGGTATGTAAAATGAATTAAAAAATTAAATTAAAAAATTTTGATTTACTATGCTAAAAAAAGAGAAGTAAAAATTGTTCAAACTTTTGTAATCTCACATATACTGATTCAAAATTTAAATTACAAAGGTGACTCACCTTCCCTTATTTTTCCTTCCTTCTTGGGAATCAAATATGAAATTAAGAAAATGCCAAAGAGCAAAATATTTGCCTCCACAGGCACTCAGATGACACCAAGTGCTGCTTCCTGAAGGCACCAGAGGGACGCAGTGCCACAGGTCTGTGACACTGACGCAGCTTCCTGTCCGTGTCTGGTCAGATGTGTTTAAGAAATAGCTGTTGGAATGTATGTGCAGCTACGGGCATGCAGAGCTTTAAATACATTGTTACAAAGTGGGGAGAGGTTCCAGAGGGGAACTAGGAGAGGTGAGAGAGTCTGGAGGAGCAGCCTGGTTTGAGTTCCTGTTATTACTTGACAATGTCTTTATTCAATGCCTTTATAACTGCCATTATTTTAACTACCCGTTTGGAAAGGAAGGATCAGAGACATCAAAATGCCAACTCCAGGCCTTTGACTTGTAAACACCTGTCCTTTTAAAGCTTGTGTTCAATGTGAGCTGTGAGTATCATGACCTCCTGCCTGGCCAATGGTCCATTCCCTAGCACCCTGGCTCTTTATACACTATGAGATTATACCAAACTTTGTGCCATAATCCAAGGGTGTCAGGCTTCTGGGATTTGTTCATATTAAACCCTCATCTTGGAATGATCATGTTGTGTTTTCTTCTAAGAAACATTTGTTTGCCATTTTATCTCTTCCGTCTTTCCTCCTCAACTTTCTCCCTTTCTCTTTTCATCTTTTTTTCCTTTCATCTTTTGTTTCATTCTTTCTGTTCACAAAGAGTGGTTGTCCTTATGATATTGCTGTGTGGAAAGTTGGGCAGTATTGAAAAGTGGATAGAATATAAGCATCATTCATTGTGTAGGCTTTGTAGGTAAGTCTAATTCAATTAGAACTACATTCACCAGAGTTCTTTTCCTGTGGGGTTTCAGAATAGCCCAGGCAAGAATATCTATTTATTTATTTATTTATTTATTTATTTATTTATTTGAATTAAAGTTTAAAAAAAAGTGTGTGTGTGTGTGTGTGTGTGTGTGTGTGTGTGTGCTGTCTGTCTGTGTGCCATGTGCATGAAGGTAATAGAGGATGCCTGAAGCAGGTGTTCAGTTTCCCTGGAACTGGATTTACAGGTGGTTGTAAGCTGCCTGATTCGAGCTCTGGGAAGAGACCATTGACCCTCTGTAGGGCATCAAGAACTTTTAACTGCTGAGCCATCTCCCCAACCCCCCAAAATAGCTACTTAATGTGATATTTAGAAGAAAGTGATATTTAGAAGAAAGTGGAGCCAAGGCTGTTGTGTTGTGTTGAAAAGAGGGGAACATGTCTCAGTTCCTGTGGTGGTTTACACACACAATTATCTACCTGTTGGATCAAACCCTGCCACACCTATAACCACTGAGTGTCTTCTCCTTGATATGATTTAGAGTCAACTCTAAGGACTCATGTTGGTGGCTTGATTCTCAGTATATGGGTGGTAAGACCTGTAATATCACTGAGCCAAGTGTGAGGTGATTATGTTATCAGGGATATTACTCTTGAAAGGGAATTCTCAGAGGACCCCAAAAGAGATGGGTCTTTCTAGCTCTTCAGCTCCCTGCTTTTCTATGTGGTTTTTGCTTTCTCACCTGTGCTCTGGTCATGAAGCCTTTACTGTGTAGTGATGCAGTGACACAGTTTTTATGGGAGCTGAGTAGAGGTGGCTGTCATATTGAGCTTCCAAAACTTTGAACTAAGTAAACCTTTATTATTTATAAAGTACTGGCCTTAGGGATCTTATTATAGCAGAGGAAAATGTATTGGTGTATCCTTTTATTTTGTTCTTTTTGTATGTAAAATGTGGACCAAAAGTATCTTATATTTTTAATTTTTACATTGATTTATTTGTGTGTGTGTGTGTATATATGTGTGCACTTAGGGAAATCAGAGGACTATTTGTTAGAGTCAGTTCTCTTCTTTCATCACGTGGGTTCTGAAGACTGAACTGAGGTTGTCAAGCTTGGTGGCAAGTGTCTTTAACCAGCTGAGCCATCTTGCCAGTTTTTTTTATTTTTCCATTTTAATTTAATCATATTATGAACATATTCCCAGATCAATACAAATTTTTCAAATATTTATGTTTGTATCATATGCCATATTGACTGATATTTAATATTTCTGAAATTATTAAACTATATGGCATTTTATTAGTATTTGCTAATATTACTCTAAAATGGGCTACTTAGCTTTTTAGTGATCTTGAACTTTTTTAAATTGCTTCTCAGAAATGCTTCACTAATATACATTTATTTCAAACCACTTGTCTGTGACTATTTTTGCCTTATCTGGACCTGTACTGTGCATTTTCAGTAATAAAATGAAATAATATTTCTTAATCACTTTTAGCAACCAAAAGAATTATTTTATTGTTAATTCCTTGTGGTCAATATTTTTATACGAATGCTATTGCATTTGTTCTGTGATTTAGTAGTATCTTTGCTAATTATTTAAAATAACTGGATAAATTAACTTCAGTTTACTACAGTTTAAGTTTTTGGCGTAACATCTTAGGCTTTATAATGTATGTCAATATGCGAGTATGTGGAATTCTTTTCTATTACAATACTTTTCTTGAAATTTTCTCAGAATATCACATCATTAGGAATGGAGTGTAGTAAAAGTTCAGTTCAGCTTTGTTTGTTAATGACCACAGATCCTAACTCATGTTGGGCCCAAAAGGCCTTCATTGGCACCCGTTAACCCACTTTGTTCATTCATCTACTTTCCAACAGAGAGGCATTCAAGGAAAGTGTTGAAGAGATGACTTACACCAAACCACCTTTAAGTTCCCTCTGACCCTACAAGATTGCTAGTTCCCTTTGTGACAGCTGCCAGTGTTTGTCCCTCACTCTCTCCTAGACCTTGGTTCATGCCCAGGAATCTAAATCAGAAGCCAGCAGAGAGCTCATGCTCTCCTGTGGATGGAGACATGGAACTGGCCCTTTCTGGTTGGTCCACAAAGCAGGAGGGCAGCCATTTTGCCAGGGGTACAGCCACATGCCTTTGAAACAGCTGCCGGAGGTACTTCCGGAACCGCTCACCCACAAAGACATAAATGACCGGGTTGACACAGCAGTGGGTATAGGCAATCACCTCAGTCACCTGCATGGCCAGGTCGAGCTGCTTACTCTGCTCACACTGATTGGTGAATAGAACATCTTGGAAAGCAGAAACAAATACAGTCAGATTATAGGGTGTCCAGAGGAGGAAGAAGAGAAGCGTGATAGCAAATATCAGACGCACTGCTTTGGCCTTCTTCTCACTGGGTCGTCGGAGCAGAATGCTGATGATCCCTGTGTAGCAGATGATCATGACTAACAGAGGCAAAATTAGCCCAAGGAAGTTCAGCTTCAGAGCCTGAAACCGCTTCCACTGCTTCAAGCTCTCATAGGGGTAATGAGGACTACAGGTATGGTGGGTGAACTCCCACTGGGCTTGGAAAAAGTATAAGCTGGGGACCGAGGCCAAGATGGCTAGGATCCAAGTAATGATACTGGTGATGATGCCAAAAGTGACAGTCCGAGCCCGCAGGGCAAACACTGCATGGACAATGGCCAGGTACCTGTCAATCGTCAGCAGGATGATAAAGAAGATCTCACTGTATAAGCCCAGGTAATAAAACCCAGAGAGGAGTTTACACATGGCATCACCAAAAATCCAGTTGTCTTTCAGTTTGTAGTCAATCCAGAAAGGCAAAGTGAAAAGGAAGACCAGATCAGAGATGGCCAGGTTGAATAGGTAGATGCTGGTCATGCTTTGAAGCCTCCTGTACTGCATGAGCACCAGAACCACCAGGACATTGCCTGTCACTCCAATGATGAACACCAGGGAGTACAGGGGGGGTAGGAGTCCAGCCCCAAAGGCTCTTACAGCAGCCTTTTGGCATGGGGTGAAGTCCCCATAGTCAAATTCTGTGGTTGTATAGTAGTCTTCTGTGGTAGTTGAAATCTCCATCAGGAACTGATCAGGAATGACGGCCTCTGTATTAAAGACAGAGGGTTCTGGGCAACAAAGACAAGACAATGGTTACATTTCTTTAACCAATAAACTCCTGATTGAAGCTTAGAAATTACAAAATCCTAGTGATGAAATGGAGGGCAGGAACACTTGCACTTTCTATTCACATGGACCTTATACTCCAAGAGGAGCACAGAACAAACAAATGAGTGTGTAAATAATTCATTCAATTATTTCAACAGTGACTGTAAGAATTTCAATGGATCAAACACAAAAGAGGACCCTATCTCACTGTTGTAACTAAGGATTTCTAAGTGACCCCAAGCAGCTGAGTTGGGACTTAGTGTTCAACACCTATTAAGGGGGCAATGCCTATTAATGGGCATTTTAGAATGAAACAAGGGTGTATATTGCCGCAGGATACTACAGTGTAGCACAAGACATTAGAAGTGATTGCACAGATGTCCATATTGCCCCAAGTTACTGCACGTGGTACACGATACAGAACAAGAGCTAAAGTAGAAAGCCATGAGTGTGTTGTTCAACTCCAGCACCGAAATTATTTGACTCTCCTGCCTCTAATCACAGTGTTGGCTCTGCCAGATGAGTTGCCATGAAAGCTCTGAGAAAGAGGATAGTCCTAGATAAGAATAAAACATTCATAGCTATGGGAAGTTATTATTATATATCTTATTCTTCAAAAGACTAGAAGATGCTACTTTCAGTTGGTAATGTGACAATGCATGCTTTTTAATGGAAAAGAAATAATTCTATGCCAAGATCTATCTATCTAGCAAATTCCTACTAGAACAACCTATCACATTATAGGTTGAGACTCAAGGTATCAGGCTGATTGTTTGGCTTAAGTTGATCCATATCACATGGCTTTTATGTGGTATAGGTAGTTTTACAGTTAATTCAGTAGACCTCTGTGAGCACCATGAGAAGGCTAGAAGGCCATGACATGGAGACAGAAATGAAAAATGGGCTCAGGGAGGAGGAGATGCCTGGATCCAAAAGGTGATGCCTCATAGGAGCTACATGGAAGACAGGATTCTGATGAAATGAGTTCAGAGTTGTTGTTGTTATTATTATTATTATTATTATTATTATTATTATTATTATTATTATTATTTATCCAGGATTTCCTCGAGATAAACAAAAGACCCAATAGATTGCTTGTCACTGTAGAACTTCTTCCACACCATGCATGATTGTACACCTTTTGAATTCTTTCCAGTCAGCTTTTTAAGCTACTCTCCAAAAAGGGAGAGTAAGGGCTTTGTTATAACATGTTAGTGGTGTGTCCTTGGATGTATTAACCTGTTTCTTTGAGCCTAAGTTCCTAATCTGGAGTGGGGGAGAGTAATGAATATATACCTTGCAAAGATGCTATGCAGCCCATGTTAAAAAAAATGTACCTTCATCCCTAGACAGTAAATACAAGGGACCTGGCTGTCATGCAGTGGTCCTGCTCTAGAGCCTGTCATTTCCAGACATCCTGACCACAATGTCTGCATTCCTTCTCTTCCTACTAAGGTTTCTTCAGGGGTAACATAGATTGTTTTTGGTTTCTCGATTGTCAATGACAGTTCTTCCATATGAAACATGCTATAAAAACTCCAGAAAACTGGTCTCACAGAATGAGAAATTCAAGTTGTGTTTACAGAGCCTGAGGAGAGTTTGGGAGAAGGGTGGAGAGAGGACAGGTATCAGGACAGCAGCAGGGCTATTCTCATGCTCTATAGCACAGTAAGATGACTATGGCCAATAACACATACTTTAATATTTCAAATTAGCTAAAGAGGAGTGTTGAGGTATCCAGGTATCCAGAGACATCCATGACTCTGGCTGACCATTGCACACTTTGCACATGTATTGAAATGTCTCCTGTATCCTTGAAATATGCAGGAGTGGGAAACGTGATATAAAACCTAAACAGATGGAAAATAAGCAAACACTTCAGTATGTTGTCACTAACCAGAGTTTCAGTATTTGACCCAAACATCTATCAGTAAAGCATGCTTCACCCTCTCCATTAGTCCTGTGATCATCCTGGACTTCTACTTCTCTCCCTTCTGGGGTCCTTAGTGAATGCTTCCTGATTACAAAATCCACACCTGAACGGTGGTCTTTGGACATTAAGGCACATGGCAGGAAGGGGGAAACTTCTGCTGAAGTGACAAGGGATGGCCTTCATTTCCTGTCAGCTCTGTCTCTGTGATTCTTCCTTCTTGTCTTCACTGTCAGTGCTCCCTGGAGAGAGTGGCAGTCAGGGATGATTGAGGCAGAGCTTTTTCCTTTCAGCTGCTCTTGATGGTGCTGAAGAGGAAAGACACTCAGCTTGGCAATCAGGACTTCTAGCTAGGATGGCAGCTTTACAACAGAGTCAGTGAAAGTTGGGGAGCAATATCATCTGGGGTTAGGTGGTCTTTGGGAGCCCATATCCTTGGCATCCTAGCCAAGGTGAAGGCAGGTTGAGTTCAACACTGTCAGGTGCCATGTTCAGCAGCTATCTGCCTACTGAGGTGCCCCAGCTCTGTCTGTTCTCCCTAAATTGTCAGGTGGCAACAGTTCCAGGGTACACTGCTGCTAAGAAGACCTGACCCTGGCCATGGGTGGAGGAGAAACAGAAGGCCCATGTTGTCATTGACTCTCCCAGGCCTGTGAATAGCTGCTTGCAGAAGTCTGCCCCAGGGCCCTTTCACAGTGCTCATGCATAGCCCTCGAACCTGGAATCTTCTAATAGTAGTGTCCTGTAGCTTGTTCATTTGTGAAGTGTCTGGGCAGACATTATAAGAAGTACCCAGGCCCAGGGTGATGCCAGATGCTTGTTGTGGTTCATAAGAGTCAGTTGTGTGTATGTGTTCAATCTTGGCATACCATGTGGACAACTTGTAACTGTCCACCATAGAAGCCAATTAACATCACCAACCATGGCTCTCCATTTCAGGCAGGGGTCAGCTTTTTGTATTTCCTAGCAACTCACCAAGGTCTTCTTGGTTGAATAACCTGCAGCTGCCATGCAACCTAAGGTGAGTCTATTGCTACTTATTTGCTAGCAGTATATGGTTTCATTGGGTTAGGAACTGAGAGCTTCATGCTGCGTGGTGTGTAGATAATCTTAAGATCGGAAAATAATGTCTATGAAAATCTAAGGGTTTCTTGCTCTTTGAAAATTTGTAGCTCTCCCACGTTTTCCTAGCCCATAGAAGGAAAGGCAAGATGGGTATTTGCTACAATCAGTCACATCCAGCTTTTTTCTCCATAAAACCATCACACATCATATTAGAGTACAACAGATATATCCCAAGACTCTATCTGTGCATCTGCTACCTCTAGGTGGTGACTTTCCACCTCCTCCATGACAGTAGTCCTTGTTTTGTGATTCTAATTCTAATCTTACAAAATTGGTTCATTATTCTGTCACTTTTGCATTTGCAACCTTTTTCCTCACTAATATTTATTTTATTTCTGCCATTTCTCCATATGCCATATTTTGTTGGCCTTTATATGAAGAAGTTTGGCAAGGATATCTTTGAAAATACTTCATTTTTCATAATTTCCAAATATGGAAAAATTTTATTTTCCATAAAAGGCATTTATTGTCTCTCTGTACTGGTTCACTCTCTTAATCATCAACAAAAAATTGTCAAGTTTACTTTCTGGAAAGAGTTTTATACCTGAACATCCAGCCTTAGGAATACATACAGCATCTTCAGAATTTCTTGAGTATTAACTGCTTTATAGAGGAAGCCATAGAGTACATAGGATCAGTGTAGTTCTCACAGCATTGCCCATTGTTGAGAATTCCTGAGCTGCACTCATTCATGCCCTTAAAATTTCCCGTTACAGTAACTAGCAGCATAGAAAAGACAAGAACCACTTACTCTGATTCCAGAGGATTTTCCCCGCAAAGACTTTGTTTCTGAACTTTTGAGAGTCTCTATGAATTCATGGTCAAGGTCCCGAACAAGTAAGAAGTTCTTAGCTTCCTGTGAAATGGTGGAGATTAGACTCTGGTTTTATAGTCTTTCAAAATGACAAGAAAAGTTCTTCTTTTTGTATGGTTGATTGCCTATGAAGCGCCACGATGCCCACCAGAGGCCAGTTCCTGGGGTCTAAGTACACTACAAGTATTTTTTCTGTCCTCTCTGATACAGTTCCAGTAAAGTTCTAGTCTTCTCAAAAGGAGCTCTGCCCTACAAGGATTGCGTAGGTTGTGGTTGGGTGGAGTTGAGTTGGACCATGTGAATGACAATGAGTTGTTCCCCAGGACTCATGAATGTGTAAGTGTGGGTGTGTAAATGTGGTGGTTGGTCACAGAGTTCTTGTGGTCAGTGAGGAGCCTTTTTTTTTTTTTTTTTTAAAGATTGCAGTTAGAAAGACCTAAAGAAGAACCCCATGTCTTGTTCCTCAAAATCATCTGGCTGATGAATGAGGTCCTAGAGAGGCATCCCCTTCTCTTTGGGGTTCTATACTGACATTATTTCTATTTGTACTTTATCTGCTCCCCATACCTCGTCTCTGCTCCCAAATGTCTTGCCAACCTCAAGCACATCTGGCATGAGAGTGTACGCTGTTTCCCCTCCTTTTTTGATAGATGTGATGGTGTATGCCTTTAATCTCAGCACTCAAGGCTGAGGTAGAAGGATTTCTGTGAGTTCCAGGCCAGCTTGGTCTACATAATGAGTTATAGAACAGCTAGGACTACATAGAATTACTGTCTTAAAAACACGCAAGCAAATCACACATTAAGACATTGGAAATGTTAAGGGTGGTATGGCTGTAGATTCCTCTTCTCTTCTTGATACTCTTGATTTATATATGCACTGACCAAACATGGTCCAAGTACAAAGCCCTTGGGTATGGATCTAAACAGAGAATTCTCAAAAGAGGAAACCCAAATGGCTGAAAAGCACTTAATGGAATATTCAATATCTTAGCCATCAGGGAAAGGCAAATCAAAACTACTTTGAAATTTTATCTTATACCAG